GGATATGGGCACCAGTGACCCACGCAACCCTGAAAGGAAGAAGTGTGTACAGAAAATGGATGGATGGATGAATGGATGGATGGATGGATGGATGGATGGATGGATGGATGGATGGATGGATGGGTTATTTTTGTGTTAATAAGCCTGAGTGATCTGTTGACTGACTGTTGTATTTGTTCAAATAATTATGTTAAAATATAAACAAATGTTTGTCATAATCATGTCTTGTGATTATTTGACAGGAGTTTTACTTTTAAACTGTAAGTGTATTTTATTTAATTATAATGCAAATACAATACAAATTAAACCAAGATTTAGAATAATTATCATTTTGATCCATACATTGGTAATGTCTGACTGGGCCTCGTGTCACTTTATGTTCAACAAACTGGGCCCCGAGGTCAAAAAGGTTAAGAAGCCCTGGTTTAGGCCATAATTCAAACTTGCTCTCAAACATACTATCAAACTCACACATTTGTCGTGGAATCCCTCAGGCAGGAAGTTTCAGTGTCTTATCAACAAGTCCTCCAGGGTCTGGCCACTCCCTACAGGCAAGCTGGTTTTCCCAATCATGAGACCAGAAACCTTCAACAGACAAAACTGAGTTCTAATGTAAAAATATTTATGTTGTAAATGTTTTCAGGCATATATCTACTAGGGCTGAGCGAGTACACCACTATCTGTATCTGTTCAACCATCTAAATTATCTGTATCTGTATCTGTACTCGGAGTGGGCGGGGCCTAAATCGGATGTGGGTGTGGCTTAACCGGAAGTTGGCGGGGCTTAAATCTGTACATTGTTTTAAATCTGAAAATGATATGGATTAATCAGAAGTTTCTATATATATTGTTTGTTTGAATGTTATTTACAGAGCAGATTCAAAAATGAGATTCAAATAAATGTTTTTAATAGCAAAAGTTAAAAAATAATTCATGTTCTGAGTTTAAAAAAGCTTGTTCTGTATGCATGAACAAGAATTGTCATACTCAATGCAACTTCCTTTAATTTTTTATTTTATGATCAAACTGATTTTTTTTGTCTTTCAATTATTTATTTATTTTTACTACCTAATGTTCTTGGCATTTTCCCCACACACAAAGTTAAACAATGTTGATAATGTTAAGGTGTGTGTGTGTGTGTGTGTGTGTGTGTGTGTGTGTGTGTGTGTGTGTGTGTGTGTGTGTG